ACGAATATTAGTACTACTACTACTAGTACTACTTCCACTAGTACTACTACTACTACGAGTACTAATACTACTACTAATACTACCAGTACTACTACTAGTACTACTACTACTAATAGTACTACTAGTAGTAACACTAGTACTACTACTAGTACTACTACTAGTACTATTAATATTACCACTATTACTACTAGTAGTACTAATACTAATACTACTAGTGCCACTACTACTACTAGTACTACTACTACTAGTATTACTACTACTACTAGTACTACAACTAATAATATTACTACTACTATTATTACTAGTACTAATATTATTATAATTAATATTACTACTACTAATACTACTACTACTACTAGTATTAATAATACTGCTACTACTAATACTACTACTACTAATAGTACTATTACTAATACTAGTACTACTACTACTAATACTACTACTCTACTACTAGTATTACTAATACTACTAGTACTACTACTACTAGTACCACTACTGTTACTACGACTACTACTAGTAATATTACCAGTACTACCAGTGCTACTATTAACATTATTAATACTATTACTACTACTTGTACTACTACTAATACTCTTTGTACTACTACTACTACCCGTACTAATACTAGTAGTAGTACTACTACTAATACTACTAGTACCACTACTACTACCACTACTACTACTACTAGTACTAGTACTACTACCACTACTACTACTAGTACTACTACTACTAGTAATACTACTACTAGTACTACTACTACTAGTACTACTACTAGTACTACTAGTACTACTACTACTACTAGTACTACTACTACTACTACTAGTATTACAAATACTATACTACTACTAGTAATACTATTACTACTAGTACTAATAATAGTACGACTAATACTATTACTACTAGTACTAGTACTACTAATACTACTACTACTAGTACTACTTACACTAGTACTACTACTACTAGTACTACTACTACTACTTCCAGTGCTACCACTACTACTACTACTAGTACTACTACTAGTACTATGAGTACTATTACTACTACCACCAATACTAATAACACGACTACTACTACTAGTAAAACTACTAGTACTACTAGTAATACTACTACTACTACTAGTATTAATACTACTAGTAATACTACTACTACTAGTACTACTACTACTAGTACTACTACTACTAGTACTACTACTAATACTACTACTAGTACTACTACTAGTATACTACTACTAATAAAAGTACTACTACTGCTTCTACATCTACTACTACTACTAGTACTACTATTACTACTAATACTACTACTAATACTACTACTAGTACTACTACTAGTACTACTACTACTCTTATTACTACTACTAATATTCCTACCAATAATAATACTACTAGTAATAGTACTAATATAATTACTAGTATTACTAACACTACTACTACTACTAGTACTCCTAATAATAGTACTAATAGTACTACTAATAATACTACTACTACTACTAGTACTCCTCCTACTACTACTACTAGTACTACTACTAATACTACTACGACTATTAGTACTAATACTACTAGTACTACTTCCACTAGTACTAATACTATTACGAGTACTAATAATACTACTACTACCAGTACTACTACTAGTACTACTACTACTAGTACTACTAGTACTACCACTAGTACTACAACTATTACTACTACTAGTACTATTAATATTACCACTATTACTACTAGTAGTACTAATACTAATACTACTAGTGCCACTACTAATACTAGTACTACTACTACTAGTACTACTAATACTACTAGTACTACAACTAATACTATTACTTCTACTATTATTACTAGTACTAATATTATTATAATTAATATTACTACTACTAATACTACTACTACTACTAGTATTAATAATACTGCTACTACTAATACTACTACTACTAATAGTACTATTACTAATACTAGTACTACTACTACTAATACTACTACTCTACTACTAGTATTAATAATACTACTAGTCCTACTACTACTACTAGTACCACTACTGTTACTACGACTACTACTAGTAATATTACCAGTACTACCAGTGCTACTATTAACATTAATAATACTATTACTACTACTTGTACTACTACTAATACTCTTTGTAATACTACTACTACCCGTACTAATACTACTAGTAGTACTACTACTATTACTAATAGTACCAATACTACTAACACTAATACTACTAGTACTACTACTACTACCACTACTACTACTAGTACTACTACTACTAGTAATACTACTACTAGTACTACTACTACTAGTACTACTACTAATACTACTACTAGTACTACTACTAGTACTGCTACTACTCCTATTACTAATACTACTATTCCTACCAATACTAATACTACTACTAATAATACTAATATTATTACTAGAATTACTAACACTACTATTATTACTAGTACTCCTAATAATAGTACTAATAATACTACTAATAATACTACTACTACTACTAGTACTACTACTAATACTACTACGACAATTAGTACTACTACTACTAGAACTTCTTCCACTAGTACTACTACTAATACTAGTACTAATATTATTACTAATACTACCAGTACTACTACTAGTATTACTACTACTACTAGCACTGATACTATTACTACTATTGCTACTACTAGTACTACTACTACTACTAGTGCTACTACTACTAATACTAGTAATATTACTACTACCACTACTACTACTATTAGTACTACTACTACTACTAGTACTAGTACTACTAGTATTACTACTACTACTTTTCTACTAGTACTACTACTACCACTAGTACTACTACTACTAATACTATTAGTAATACTACTACTACTTCTAGTACTACAATTAATACTAGTACTACTACTACTACTACAACTACTACTAGAACTACTACTACTAGTACTAGTAATACTACTACTACTTCTAGTACGACTATTATTATTAGTACAACTACTACTACAACTATTACGAATAATACTACTACTAATATTACTACTACTACTACCAGTACTACTACTAGTACTACTACTAATACTACTAGTACTGATACTACTACTACTACTGCTACTACTAGTACTACTAATACTACTACTAGTACTACTAATACTACTACTATAACTACTACTACTACCACTACTACTACTAGTACTACTACTACTAGTAATACTACTACTAGTACTACTACTACTAGTACTACTACTAATACTACTACTAGTACTACTGCTAGTACTACTACTACTCCTATTACTAATACTACTATTCCTACCAATACTAATACTACTACTAATAGTACTAATATTATTACTGGAATTACTAACACTACTATTATTACTAGTACTCCTAATATTAGTACTAATAATACTACTAATAATACTACTACTACTACTAGTACTACTACTAATACTACTACGACAATTAGTACTAATACTACTAGAACTTCTTCCACTAGTGCTACTACTAATACTAGTACTAATATTATTACTAATACTACCAGTACTACTACTAGTACTACTACTACTACTAGCACTGATACTATAACTACTATTGCTACTACTAGTACTACTACTACTACTAGTGCTACTACTAATAATACTAGTAATATTACTACTACCACTACTACTACTATTAGTACTACTACTACTACTAGTACTAGTACTACTAGTATTTCTACTACTACTTTTCTACTAGTACTACTAATACCACTACTACTACTACTACTTCTAGTACTACAATTAATACTAGTACTACTACTACTACTACAACTAATACTAGTACTACTACTACTACTAGTACTAGTACTAATAGTACTATTACTACTACTATTACTAATAGTACTACTAATACCACTAGTACTACTACTATTACTAGTACTACTACTACTACTACTAGTAATACTACTACTACTTCTAGTACTACTACTAATACTAGTACAACTACTAATACTACAACTACTACTAATAATACTACTACTAATATTACTACTACTACTACTACCAGTACTTCTACTAGTACTACTACTAATAGTACTTGTACTGATACTACTACTGATACTACTAGTACTAATACTAATACTAGTACTACTACCACTAGTACTACTACTACTACCACCAATACTACTACTACTAGTACTACTACTAATACTACTACGACTATTAGTACTAATACTACTAGTACTACTTCCACTAGTACTAATACTATTACGAGTACTAATAATACTACTACTACCAGTACTACTACTAGTACTACTACTACTAGTACTACTAGTACTACCACTAGTACTACAACTATTACTACTACTAGTACTATTAATATTACTACTATTACTACTAGTAGTACTAATACTAATACTACTAGTGCCACTACTAATACTAGTACTACTACTACTAGTACTACTAATACTACTAGTACTACAACTAATACTATTACTTCTACTATTATTACTAGTACTAATATTATTATAATTAATATTACTACTACTAATACTACTACTACTACTAGTATTAATAATACTGCTACTACTAATACTACTACTACTAATAGTACTATTACTAATACTAGTACTACTACTACTAATACTACTACTCTACTACTAGTATTACTAATACTACTAGTACTACTACTATTACTAGTACCACTACTGTTACTACGACTACTACTAGTAATAATACCAGTACTACCAGTGCTACTATTAACATTAATAATACTATTACTACTACTTGTACTACTACTAATACTCTTTGTAATACTACTACTACCCGTACTAATAATACTAGTAGTACTACTGCTATTACTAATAGTACCAATACTACTAACACTAATACTACTAGTACTACTACTACTACCACTACTACTACTAGTACTACTACTACTATTAATACTACTACTAGTACTACTACTACTAGTACTACTACTAATACTACTACTAGTACTACTACTAGTACTGCTACTACTCCTATTACTAATACTACTATTCCTACCAATACTAATACTACTACTAATAATACTAATATTATTACTAGAATTACTAACACTACTATTATTACTAGTACTCCTAATAATAGTACTAATAATACTACTAATAATACTACTACTACTACTAGTACTACTACTAATACTACTACGACAATTAGTACTACTACTACTAGAACTTCTTCCACTAGTACTACTACTAATACTAGTACTAATATTATTACTAATACTACCAGTACTACTACTAGTATTACTACTACTACTAGCACTGATACTATTACTACTATTGCTACTACTAGTACTACTACTACTACTAGTGCTACTACTAATAATACTAGTAATATTACTACTACCACTACTACTACTACTAGTACTACTACTACTACTACTAGTACTAGTACTACTAGTATTACTACTACTACTTTTCTACTAGTACTACTACTACCACTAGTACTACTACTACTAATACTATTAGTAATACTACTACTACTTCTAGTACTACAATTAATACTAGTACTACTACTACTACTACAACTACTACTAGTACTACTACTACTAGTACTAGTAATACTACTACTACTTCTAGTACGACTATTATTATTAGTACAACTACTACTACAACTATTACTAATAATACTACTACTAATATTAGTACTACTACTACCAGTACTACTACTAGTACTACTACTAATACTACTAATACTGATACTACTACTACTACTGCTACTACTAGTACTACTAATACTACTACTAGTACTACTAATACTACTACTAAAACTACTACTACTACCACTACTACTACTAGTACTACTACTACTAGTAATACTACTACTAGTACTACTACTACTAGTACTACTACTAATACTACTACTAGTACTACTGCTAGTACTACTACTACTCCTATTACTAATACTACTATTCCTACCAATACTAATACTACTACTAATAGTACTAATATTATTACTAGAATTACTAACACTACTATTATTACTAGTACTCCTAATATTAGTACTAATAATACTACTAATAATACTACTACTACTACTAGTACTACTACTAATACTACTAAGACAATTAGTACTAATACTACTAGAACTTCTTCCACTAGTACTACTACTAATACTAGTACTAATATTATTACTAATACTACCAGTACTACTACTAGTACTACTACTACTAGCACTGATACTATAACTACTATTGCTACTACTAGTACTACTACTACTACTAGTGCTACTACTAATAATACTAGTAATATTACTACTACCACTACTACTACTATTAGTACTACTACTACTACTAGTACTAGTACTAATAGTACTATTACTACTACTATTACTAATAGTACTACTAATACCACTAGTACTACTACTATTACTAGTACTACTACTACTACTACTAGTAATACTACTACTTCTAGTACTACTACTAATACTAGTACAACTACTAATACTACAACTACTACTAATAATACTACTACTAATATTACTACTACTACTACTACCAGTACTTCTACTAGTACTACTACTAATAGTACTTGTACTGATACTACTACTGATACTACTAGTACTAATACTAATACTAGTACTACTACCACTAGTACTACTACTACTACCACCAATACTACTACTACTAGTACTACTAGTAGTACTACTACTACTACAAGTACTACTACTACTACTAGTACTAGTATTACTACTATTACTAGTACTACTACTACTACTAGTACTACTACTACTACTAGTACTACTACTACTATTACTAATAATACTACTACTACTACTAGTACTAATACAACTACTACTACTAGTACTACTAATACTACTAGTACTACTACTACTACTACTAGTACTACTACTAGTACTATGAGTACTATTACTACTACTACCAGTACTAATAACACGACTACGACTACTAGTACAACTACTAGTACTACTAGTAATACTACTACTACTACTAGTAGTAATAATACTAGTAATAATACTACTTCCAGTACTACTTCCACTAGTACTACTACTAATACTACTACTGGTACTACTACTAGTATACTACTACTAATAAAAGTACTACTACTTCTACTGCTATTTCTCCTACTACTACTAGTACTACTACTAATAGTACTACTACTACTACTAGTACTGCTACTAGTAGTATGAGTACTACTACCACTACTACCAGTACTAATAACACGACTACTACTACTAGTACAACTATTAGTACTACTAGTAATACTACTACTACTATTAGTAATACTACTAGTAATACTACTACTACTAGTACTACTACTACTAGTACTACTACTACTAGTACTACTACTAATACTACTACTAGTACTACTACTAGTATACTACTACTAATAAAAGTACTTCTACTACTACTTCTACTTCTACTACTACTACTAGTACTACTATTACTACTAGTACAACTACTAATACTACTACTAGTACTACTACTAGTACTACTACTACTCCTATCACTACTACTACTATTCCTACCAATACTAATACTACTATAAATAGTACTAATATTATTACTAGTATTACTAACACTACTACTACTACTAGTACTCCTAATAATAGTACTAATAGTACTACTAATAATACTACTACAACTACTAGTACTCCTCCTACTACTACTACTAGTACTACTACTAATACTACTACGACTATTAGTACTACTACTACTAGTACTACTTCCACTAGTACTACTACTACTACGAGTACTAATACTACTACTACTACTACCAGTACTACTACTAGTACTACTACTACTAGTACTACTAGTACTACCACTAGTACTACTACTATTACTACTACTAGTACTATTAATATTACTACTATTACTACTAGTAGTACTAATACTAATACTACTAGTGCCACTACTACTACTAGTACTACTACTACTAGTACTACTACTACTACTAGTACTACTACTACTACTACTAGTATTACAACTATTAGTACTATTACTAGTAATACTACTACTACTAGTACTAATACTTGTACGACTAATACTATTACTACTAGTACTAGTACTACTAATACTACTACTACTAGTACTACTAATACTAGTACTACTACTACTAGTACTACTACTACTACTACTATTAGTACTACTACTACTACTTCCAGTGCTACGACTACTACTACTACTAGTATTACTACTAGTATTATGAGTACTATTACTACTACTACCAGTACTAATAACACGACTACTACTACTAGTACAACTACTAGTACAACTAGTAATACTACTACTACTACTAGTATTAATACTACCAGTAATACTACTACTACTATTACTACTACTAGTACTACTACTACTAGTACTACTACTAATACTACTACTAGTACTACTACTAGTATACTACTACTAATAAAAGTACTACTAATGCTGCTACATCTACTAATACTACTAGTACTACTATTACTACTAATACTACTACTAATACTACTACTAGTACTACTACTAGTACTACTACTACTCTTATTACTACTACTAATATTACTATTCATAATAATACTACTACTAATAGTACTAATATAATTACTAGTATTACTAACACTACTACTACTACTAGTACTCCTAATAATAGTACTAATAGTACTACTAATAATACTACTACTACTACTAGTACTCCTCCTACTACTACTACTAGTACTACTACTAATACTACTACGACTATTAGTACTAATACTACTAGTACTACTTCCACTAGTACTAATACTATTACGAGTACTAATACTACTACTACTACCAGTACTACTACTAGTACTACTACTACTAGTACTACTAGTACTACCACTAGTACTACTACTAGTACTACTACTAGTACTATTAATATTACTACTATTACTACTAGTAGTACTAATACTAATACTACTAGTGCCACTACTAATACTAGTACTACTACTACTAGTACTACTAATACTACTAGTACTACAACTAATACTATTACTGCTACTATTATTACTAGTACTAATATTATTATAATTAATATTACTACTACTACTACTAGTATTAATAATACTGCTACTACTAATACTACTACTACTAATAGTACTATTACTAATACTAGTACTACTACTACTAATACTACTACTCTACTACTAGTATTACTAATACTACTAGTACTACTACTACTAGTACCACTACTGTTACTACGACTACTACTAGTAATATTACCAGTACTACCAGTGCTACTATTAACATTAATAATACTATTACTACTACTTGTACTACTACTAATACTCTTTGTACTACTACTACTACCCGTACTAATACTACTAGTAGTACTACTACTATTACTAATAGTACCAATACTACTAACACTAATACTACTACTACTACTACTACTACCACTACTACTACTAGTACTACTACTACTAGTAATACTACTACTAGTACTACTACTACTAGTACTACTACTAATACTACTACTAGTACTACTACTAGTACTGCTACTACTCCTATTACTAATACTACTATTCCTACCAATACTAATACTACTACTAATAATACTAATATTATTACTAGAATTACTAACACTACTATTATTACTAGTACTCCTAATAATAGTACTAATAATACTACTAATAATACTACTACTACTAGTACTACTACTAATACTACTACGACAATTAGTACTACTACTACTAGAACTTCTTCCACTAGTACTACTACTAATACTAGTACTAATATTATTACTAATACTAACAGTACTACTACTAGTACTACTACTACTACTAGCACTGATACTATTACTACTATTGCTACCACTAGTACTACTACTACTACTAGTGCTACTACTAATAATACTAGTAATATTACTACTACCACTACTACTACTATTAGTACTACTACTACTACTAGTATTAGTACTACTAGTATTACTACTACTACTTTTCTACTAGTACTACTACTACCACTAGTACTACTACTACTAATAAAATTAGTAATACTACTACTACTTCTAGTACTACAATTAATACTAGTACTACTACTACTACTACAACTACTACTAGAACTACTACTACTAGTACTAGTACTACTAGTACTAATACTACTACTATTACTAATAGTACTAGTAATACCACTAGTACTACTACTACTACTAGTACTAATATTTCTACTACTAGTAATACTACTACTACTTCTAGTACGACTATTATTATTAGTACAACTACTACTACAACTATTACTAATAATACTACTACTAATATTACTACTACTACCAGTACTACTACTAGTACTACTACTAATACTACTAGTACTGATACTACTACTACTACTGCTACTACTAGTACTACTAATACTACTACTAGTACTACTAATACTACTACTAGTACTACTACTACTACCACTACTACTACTAGTACTACTACTACTAGTAATACTACTACTAGTACTACTACTACTAGTACTACTACTAATACTACTACTAGTACTACTGCTAGTACTACTACTACTCCTATTACTAATACTACTATTCCTACCAATACTAATACTACTACTAATAGTACTAATATTATTACTAGAATTACAAACACTACTATTATAACTAGTACTCCTAATAATAGTATTAATAGTACTACTAATAATACTACTAATACTACTAGTACTACTACTAATAATACTACGACAATTAGTACTACTACTACTAGAACTTCTTCCACTAGTACTACTACTAATACTAGTACTAATATTATTACTAATACTACCAGTACTACTACTAGTACTACTACTAGCACTGATACTATTACTACTATTGCTACTACTAGTACTACTAATACTACTAGTGCTACTACTAATAATACTAGTAATATTACTACTACCACTACTACTACTATTAGTACTACTACTACTAGTACTAGTACTACTAGTATTACTACTACTACTTTTCTACTAGTACTACTAATACCACTAGTACTACTACTACTTCTAGTACTAAAATAATACTAGTACTACTACTACTACTACAACTACTACTAGTACTACTACTACTACTAGTACTAGTACTAATAGTATTATTACTACTACTATTACTAATAGTACTACTAATACCACTAGTACTACTACTATTACTAGTACTACTACTAATACTACTAGTAATACTACTACTACTTCTAGTACTACTACTAATACTAGTACAACTACTAATACTACAACTACTACTAATAATACTACTACTAATATTACTACTACTACTACTACCAGTACTTCTACTAGTACTACTACTAATAGTACTTGTACTGATACTACTACTGATACTACTAGTACTAATACTAATACTAGTACTACTACCACTAGTACTAGTACTACTACCACCAATACTACTACTACTAGTACTATTAGTAGTACTACTACCACTACAAGTACTACTACTACTACTAGTACTAGTATTACTACTATTACTAGTACTACTACTACTACTACTAGTACTACTACTACTACTAGTACTACTACTAGTACTATGAGTACTATTACTACTACTACCAGTACTAATAACACGACTACGACTACTAGTACAACTACTAGTACTACTAGTAATACTACTACTACTACAAGGAGTAATAATACTAGTAATACTACTACTTCCAGTACTACTTCTACTAGTACTACTACTAATACTACTACTAGTACTACTGCTAGTATACTACTACTAATAAAAGTACTACTACTTCTACTGCTATTTCTACTACTACTGCTAGTACTACTATTACTACTAGTACTACTACTAATACTACTACTAGTACTACTACTAGTACTACTACTACTCCTATTACTAATACTACTATTCCTACCATTACTAATACTACTACTAATAGTACTAATATTTTTACTAGTATTACTAACACTACTACTACTAGTACTCCTAATAATAGTATTAATAGTACTACTAATAATACTACTAATACTACTGGTACTCCTCCTACTACTACTACTAGTACTACTACTAATACTACTACGACTATTAGTACTACTACTACTAGAACTTCTTCCACTAGTACTACTACTAATACTAGTACTAATACTATTACTACTACTACCAGTACTACTACTAGTACTACTACTACTAGCACTGATACTATTACTACTATTGCTACTACTAGTACTACTACTACTACTAGTGCTACTACTAATAATACTAGTAATATTACTACTACCACTACTACTACTATTAGTACTACTACTACTAGTACTAGTACTACTAGTATTACTACTACTACTTTTCTACTAGTACTACTAATACCACTAGAACTACTACTACTTCTAGTACTACAATTAATACTAGTACTACTACTACTACTACAACTACTACTAGTACTACTACTAGTACTAGTACTAGTACTAATAGTACTATTACTACTACTATTACTAATAGTACTACTAATACCACTAGTACTACTACTATTACTAGTACTACTACTACTACTACTAGTACTACTACTAATACTACTACTAGTACTCTAATATACTACTACTAATAAAGTACTTCTACTCTACTTCTACTTCTACTACTACTACTAGTAATACTACTACTACTTCTAGTACTACTACTAATACTAGTACAACTACTAATACTACAACTACTACTAATAATACTACTACTAATATTACTACTACTACTACCAGTACTACTACTAGTACTACTACTAATACTACTAGTACTGATACTACTACTACTACTGCTACTACTAGTACTACTAATACTACTACTAGTACTACTACTACTAGTACTAATACTACTACCACCAATACTACTACTACTAGTACTACTAGTAGTACTACTACTACTACAAGTACTACTACTACTACTAGTACTAGTATTACTACTACTAATAGTACTACTACTACTACTAGTACTACTACTACTACTAGTACTACTAATACTAGTACTAATAATACTACTACTACTACTAGTACTACTACAACTACTACTACTAGTACTACTACTACTACTAGTACTGCTACTAGTAGTATGAGTACTACTACCACTACTACCAGTACTAATAACACGACTACTACTACTAGTACAACTATTAGTACTACTAGTAATACTACTACTACTACTAGTAATACTACTAGTAACACTACTACTACTAGTACTACTACTACTAGTACTACTACTACTAGTACTACTACTACTAGTACTACTACTAATACTACTACTAGTACTACTACTAGTATACTACTACTAATAAAATACTTCTACTACTACTTCTACTTCTACTACTACTACTAGTACTACTATTACTACTAGTACAACTACTAATACTACTACTAGTACTACTACTAGTACTACTACTACTCCTATCACTACTACTACTATTCCTACCAATACTAATACTACTATAAATAGTACTAATATTATTACTAGTATTACTAACACTACTACTACTACTAGTACTCCTAATAATAGTACTAATAGTACTACTAATAATACTACTACAACTACTAGTACTCCTCCTACTACTACTACTAGTACTACTACTAATACTTCTACGAATATTAGTACTACTACTACTAGTACTACTTCCACTAGTACTACTACTACTACGAGTACTAATACTACTACTAATACTACCAGTACTACTACTAGTACTACTACTACTAATAGTACTACTAGTACTAACACTAGTACTACTACTAGTACTACTACTAGTACTATTAATATTACCACTATTACTACTAGTAGTACTAATACTAATACTACTAGTGCCACTACTACTACTAGTACTACTACTACTAGTATTACTACTACTACTAGTACTACAACTAATAATATTACTACTACTATTATTACTAGTACTAATATTATTATAATTAATATTACTACTACTAATACTACTACTACTAGTATTAATAATACTGCTACTACTAATACTACTACTACTAATAGTACTATTACTAATACTAGTACTACTACTACTAATACTACTACTCTACTACTAGTATTACTAATACTACTAGTACTACTACTACTAGTACCACTACTGTTACTACGACTACTAATAGTAATATTACCAGTACTACCAGTGCTACTATTAACATTAATAATACTATTACTACTACTTGTACTAATACTAATATTCTTTGTACTACTACTACTACCCGTACTAATACTAGTAGTAGTACTACTACTAATACTACTAGTACCACTACTACTACCACTACTACTACTACTAGTACTAGTACTACTACCACTACTACTACTAGTACTACTACTACTAGTAATACTACTACTAGTACTACTACTACTAGTACTACTACTAGTACTACTAGTACTACTACTACTACTAGTACTACTACTACTACTACTAGTATTACAACTACTATACTACTACTAGTAATACTACTACTACTAGTACTACTACTAGTACTATGAGTACTATTACTACTACTACCAGTACTAATAACACGACCACTACTACTAGTACAAATACTAGTACTACTAGTAATACTACTACTACTAGTATTAATACTACTAGTAATACTACTACTACTAGTACTACTACTACTAGTACTACTACTACTAGTACTACTACTAATACTACTACTAGTACTACTACTAGTATACTACTACTAATAAAAGTACTACTACTGCTTCTACATCTACTACTACTAGTACTACTATTACTACTAATACTACTACTAATACTACTACTAGTACTACTACTAGTACTACTACTACTCCTATTACTACTACTAATATTCCTACCAATAATAATACTACTACTAATAGTACTAATATTATTACTAGTATTACTAACACTATTACTACTACTAGTACTCCTAATAATAGTACTAATAGTACTACTAATAATACTACTACTACTACTAGTACTCCTCCTACTACTACTACTAGTACTACTACTAATACTACTACGACTATTAGTACTAATACTACTAGTACTACTTCCACTAGTACTAATAATATTACGAGTACTAATACTACTACTACTACCAGTACTACTACTAGTACTACTACTACTAGTACTACTAGTACTACCACTAGTACTACAACTATTACTACTACTAGTACTATTAATATTACTACTATTACTACTAGTAGTACTAATACTAATACTACTAGTGCCACTACTAATACTAGTACTACTACTACTAGTACTACTAATACTACTAGTACTACAACTAATACTATTACTGCTACTATTATTACTAGTACTAATATTATTATAATTAATATTACTACTACTAATACTACTACTACTACTAGTATTAATAATACTGCTACTACTAATACTACTACTACTAATAGTACTATTACTAATACTAGTACTACTACTACTAATACTACTACTCTACTACTAGTATTACTAATACTACTAGTACTACTACTACTACTAGTACCACTACTGTTACTACGACTACTACTAGTAATATTACCAGTACTACCAGTGCTACTATTAACATTAATAATACTATTACTACTACTTGTACTACTACTAATACTCTTTGTAATACTACTACTACCCGTACTAATACTACTAGTAGTACTACTACTATTACTAATAGTACCAATACTACTAAAACTAATACTACTAGTACTACTACTACTACCACTACTACTACTAGTACTACTACTACTAGTAATACTACTACTAGTACTACTACTACTAGTACTACTACTAATACTACTACTAGTACTACTACTAATACTGCTACTACTCCTATTACTAATACTACTATTCCTACCAATACTAATACTACTACTAATAATACTAATATTATTACTAGAATTACTAACACTACTATTATTACTAGTACTCCTAATAATAGTACTAATAATACTACTAATAATACTACTAATACTACTAGTACTACTACTAATACTACTACAACAATTAGTACTACTACTACTAGAACTTCTTCCACTAGTACTACTACTAATACTAGTACTAATATTATTACTAATACTACCAGTACTACTACTAGTATTACTACTACTACTAGCACTGATACTATTACTACTATTGCTACTACTAGTACTACTACTACTACTAGTGCTACTACTACTAATACTAGTAATATTACTACTACAACTACTACTACTATTAGTACTACTACTACTACTAGTACTAGTACTACTAGTATTACTACTACTACTTTTCTACTAGTACTACTACTACCACTAGTACTACTACTACTAATACTATTAGTAATACTACTACTACTTCTAATACTACAATTAATACTAGTACTACTACTACTACTACAACTACTACTAGAACTACTACTACTAGTACTAGTAATACTACTACTACTTCTAGTACGACTATTATTATTAGTACAACTACTACTACAACTATTACTAATAATACTACTACTAATATTACTACTACTACTACCAGTACTACTACTAGTACTACTACTAATACTACTAGTACTGATACTACTACTACTACTGCTACTACTAGTACTACTAATACTACTACTAGTACTACTAATACTACTACTAAAACTACTACTACTACCACTACTACTACTAGTACTACTACTACTAGTAATACTACTACTAGTACTACTACTACTAGTACTACTACTAATACTACTACTAGTACTACTGCTAGTACTACTACTACTCCTATTACTAATACTACTATTCCTACCAATACTAATACTACTACTAATAGTACTAATATTATTACTAGAATTACTAACACTACTATTATTACTAGTACTCCTAATATTAGTACTAATAATACTACTAATAATACTACTACTACTAGTACTACTACTAATACTACTACGACAATTGGTACTACTACTACTAGAACTTCTTCCACTAGTACTACTACTAATACTAGTACTAATATTATTAATAATACTACCAGTACTACTACTAGTACTACTACTACTACTAGCACTGATACTATAACTACTATTGCTACTACTAGTACTACTACTACTACTAGTGCTACTACTAATAATACTAGTAATATTACTACTACCACTACTACTACTATTAGTACTACTACTACTACTAGTACTAGTACTACTAGTATTACTACTACTACTTATCTACTAGTACTACTAATACCACTAGTACTACTACTACTTCTAGTACTACAATTAATACTAGTACTACTACTACTACTAGTACTAGTACTAATAGTACTATTACTACTACTATTACTAATAGTACTACTAATACCACTAGTACTACTACTATTACTAGTACTACTACTACTACTACTAGTAATACTACTACTACTTCTAGTACTACTACTAATACTAGTACAACTACTAATAATACAACTACTACTAATAATACTACTACTAATATTACTACTACTACTACTACCAGTACTTCTACTAGTACTACTACTAATAGTACTTGTACTGATACTACTACTGATACTACTAGTACTAATACTACTACTAGTACTACTACCACTAGTACTACTACTACTACCACCAATACTACTACTACTAGTACTACTAGTAGTACTACTACTACTACAAGTACTACTACTACTACTAGTACTAGTATTACTACTATTACTAGTACTACTACTACTAGTACTACTACTACTACTAGTACTACTACTACTATTACTAATAATACTACTACTACTACTAGTACTACTACAACTACTACTACTAGTACTACTACTACTAGTACTACTACTAGTACTATGAGTACTATTACTACTACTACCAGTACTAATAACACGACTACTACTACTACAACTACTAGTACTACTAGTAATACTACTACTACTACTAGTAGTAATAATACTAGTAATACTACTACTTCCAGTACTACTACTACTAGTACTACTACTAATACTACTACTAGTACTACTACTAGTATACTACTACTAATAAAAGTACTACTACTTCTACTGCTATTTCTACTACTACTACTAGTACTACTACTACTAGTACTACTACTAATACTACTACTAGTACTACTACTAGTACTACTACTACTCCTATTACTAATACTACTATTCCTACCAATACTAATACTACTACTAATACTACTAATATTATTACTAGTATTACTAACACTACTACTACTAGTACTCCGAATAATAGTATTAATAGTACTACTAATAATACTACTACTACTAGTACTCCTCCTACTACTACTACTAGTACTACTACTAATACTACTACGACTATTAGTACTACTACTACTAGAACTTCTTCCACTAGTACTACTACTAATACTAGTACTAATACTATTACTACTACTACCAGTACTACTACTAGTACTACTACTACTAGCACTGATACTATTACTACTATTGCTACTACTAGTACTACTACTACTAGTGCTACTACTAATAATACTAGTAATATTACTACTACCACTACTACTACTATTAGTACTACTACTACTACTAGTACTAGTACTACTAGTATTACTACTACTACTTTTCTACTAGTACTACTAATACCACTAGTACTACTACTACTTCTAGTACTACAATTAATACTAGTACTACTACTACTACTACAACTAATACTAGTACTACTACTACTACTAGTACTAGTACTAATAGTACTATTACTACTACTATTACTAATAGTACTACTAATACCACTAGTACTACTACTACTACTAGTACTACTACTACTACTAGTAATACTACTACTACTTCTAGTACTACTACTAATACTAGTACAACTACTACTACTACAACTACTACTAATAATACTACTACTAATATTACTACTACTACTACTACCAGTACTACTACTAGTACTACTACTAATAGTACTTGTACTGATACTACTACTGATACTACTAGTACTAATACTAATACTAGTACTACTACCACTAGTTCTACTACTACTACCACCAATACTACTACTACTAGTACTACTAGTAGTACTACTACTACTACAAGTACTACTACTACTACTAGTACTAGTATTACTACTATTACTAGTAATACTACTACTACTACTAGTACTACTACTACTACTAGTACTACTACTACTATTACTAATAATACTACTACTACCAGTACTAATACAACTACTACTACTAGTACTACTACTACTACTACTAGTACTACTACTACTACTAGTACTACTACTAGTACTATGAGTACTATTACTACTACTACCAGTACTAATAACACGACTACTACTACTAGTACAAATACTAGTACTACTAGTAATACTACTACTACTACTACTAGTAGTAATAATACTAGTAATACTACTACTTCCAGTACTACTACTACTAGTACTACTACTAATACTACTACTAGTACTACTACTAGTATACTACTACTAATAAAATTACTACTACTTCTACTGCTATCTACTACTACTACATACTACTACTACTACTACTACTGCTACTTCTACTACTACTACTAGTACTACTATTACTACTAGTACTACTACTAATACTACTACTAGTACTACTACTAGTACTACTACTACTCCTATTACTACTACTACTATTCCTACCAATACTAATACTACTACTAATAGTACTAATATTATTACTAGTATTACTAACACTAATACTACTACTAGTACTCCTAATAATAGTACTAATAGTACTACTAATAATACTACTACTACTACTAGTACTCCTCCTACTACTACTACTAGTACTACTACTAATACTACTACGACTATTAGTACTACTACTACTAGTACTACTTCCACTAGTACTACTACTACTACTAGTACTAATACTACTACTACCAGTACTACTACTAGTACTACTACTACTAATAGTACTACTAGTACTACCACTAGTACTACTAATAGTACTACTACTAGTACTATTAATATTACTACTATTACTACTAGTAGTACTAATACTAATACTACTAGTGCCACTACTACTACTAGTACTACTACTACTAGTACTACTACTACTACTAGTACTACAACTAATACTATTACTACTACTACTATTACTAGTACTAATATTATTATAATTAATATTACTACTACTAATACTACTACTACTAGTATTAATAATACTGCTACTACTAATACTACTACTACTAATAGTACTATTACTAATACTAGTACTACTACTACTAATACTACTACTCTACTACTAGTATTACTAATACTACTAGTACTACTACTACTACTAGTACCACTACTGTTACTACGACTACTACTAGTACTATTACCAGTACTACCAGTGCTACTATTAACATTAATAATACTATTACTACTACTTGTACTACTACTAATAATCTTTGTACTACTACTACTACCCGTACTAATACTACTAGTAGTACTACTACTAATACTACTAGTACCACTACTACTACCACTACTACTACTACTAGTACTACTACTACTACCACTACTACTACTAGTACTACTACTACTAGTAATACTACTACTAGTACTACTACTACTAGTACTACTACTAGTACTACTAGTACTACTACTACTACTACTAGTACTACTACTAGTACTACTACTATTATTACTACTATACTACTACTAGTAATACTACTACTACTAGTACTAATACTAGTACTACTAATACTATTACTACTAGTACTAGTACTACTAATACTACTACTAATAGTACTACTAATACTAGTACTACTACTACTAGTACTACTACTACTACTACTACTAGTACTACTACTACTACTACTAGTACTACTACTACTAGTACTACTACTACTACCACCAATACTACTACTACTAGTACTACTAGTAGTACTACTACTACTACAAGTACTACTACTACTACTAGTACTAGTATTACTACTACTAATAGTACTACTACTACTACTAGTACTACTACTACTACTAGTACTACTACTACTAGTACTAATAATACTACTACTACTACTAGTACTACTACAACTACTACTACTAGTACTACTACTACTACTACTAGTACTACTACTAGTACTATGAGTACTACTACCACTACTACCAGTACTAATAACACGACTACTACTACTAGTACAACTACTAGTACTACTAGTAATACTACTACTAGTAATACTACTAGTAATACTACTACTACTAGTACTACTACTACTAGTACTACTACTACTAGTACTACTACTAATACTACTACTAGTACTACTACTAGTATACTACTACTAATAAAAGTACTACTACTACTACTGCTACTTCTACTACTACTACTAGTACTACTATTACTACTAGTACTACTACTAATACTACTACTAGTACTACTACTAGTACTACTACTACTCCTATTACTACTACTAATATTCCTACCAATACTAATACTACTACTAATAGTACTAATATTATTACTAGTATTACTAACACTACTACTACTACTAGTACTCCTAATAATAGTACTAATAGTACTACTAATAATACTACTACTACTACTAGTACTCCTCCTACTACTACTACTAGTACTACTACTAATACTACTACGACTATTAGTACTACTACTACTAGTACTACTTCCACTAGTACTACTACTAATACTAGTACTAATACTACTACTACCAGTACTACTACTAGTACTACTACTACTAGTATTACTACTAGTACTACCACTAGTACTACTACTAGTACTACTACTAGTACTATTAATATTACTACTATTACTACTAGTAGTACTAATACTAATACTACTAGTGCCACTACTACTACTAGTACTACTACTACTAGTACTACTACTACTACTAGTACTACAACTAATACTATTACTACTACTACTATTACTAGTACTAATATTATTATAATTAATATTACTACTACTAATACTACTACTACTAGTATTAATAATACTGCTACTACTAATACTACTACTACTAATAGTACTATTACTAATACTAGTACTACTACTACTAATAATACTACTCTACTACTAGTATTACTAATACTACTAGTAGTACTACTACTACTAGTACCACTACTGTTACTACGACTACTACTAGTACTATTACCAGTACTACCAGTGCTACTATTAACATTAATAATACTATTACTACTACTTGAACTACTACTAATACTCTTTGTACTACTACTACTACTCGTACTAATACTACTAGTAGTACTACTACTAATACTACTAGTACCACTACTACTACCACTACTACTACTACTACTACTACTACTACTAACACTACTACTAGTACTACTACTACTAGTAATACTACTACTAGTACTACTACTACTAGTACTACTACTAGTACTACTAGTACTACTACTACTACTACTAGTACTACTACTATCTACTAGTATTAAAACTACTATACTACTACTAGTAATACTACTACTACTAGTACTAATACTAGTACGACTAATACTATTACTACTAGTACTAGTACTACTAATACTACTACTAATAGTACTACTAATACTAGTACTACTACTACTAGTACTACTAATACTACTACTACTAGTACTACTACTACTACTTCCAGTGCTACTACTACTACTACTACTAGTACTATGAGTACTATTACTACTACTACCAGTACTAATAACACGACTACTACTACTAGTACAACTACTAGTACTACTAGTAATACTACTACTACTACTAGTAATAATACTACTAGTAATACTACTACTACTAGTACTACTACTACTAGTACTACTACTACTAGTACTACTACTAATACTACTACTAGTACTACTACTAGTATACTACTACTAATAAAAGTACTACTACTACTGCTACTTCTACTACTACTACTAGTACTACTATTACTACTAATACTACTACTAATACTACTACTAGTACTACTACTAGTACTACTACTACTCCTATTACTACTACTAATATTCCTACCAATAATAATACTACTACTAATAGTACTAATATTATTACTAGTATTACTAACACTACTACTACTACTAGTACTCCTAATAATAGTACTAATAGTACTACTAATAATACTACTACTACTAGTACTCCTCCTCCTACTACTACTAGTACTACTACTAATACTACTACGACTATTAGTACTACTACTACTAGTACTACTTCCACTAGTACTAATACTACTACGAGTACTAATACTACTACTACTACCAGTACTACTACTAGTACTACTACTACTAGTACTACTAGTACTACCACTAGTACTACTACTAGTACTACTACTAGTACTATTAATATTACTACTATTACTACTAGTAGTACTAATACTAATACTACTAGTGCCACTACTACTACTAGTACTACTACTACTAGTACTACTACTACTACTAGTACTACAACTAATACTATTACTACTACTACTATTACTAGTACTAATATTATTATAATTAATATTACTACTACTAATACTACTACTACTAGTATTAATAATACTGCTACTACTAATACTACTACTACTAGTAGTACTATTACTAATACTAGTACTACTACTACTAATACTACTACTCTACTACTAGTATTACTAATACTACTAGTACTACTACTACTACTAGTACCACTACTGTTACTACGACTACTACTAGTACTATTACCAGTACTACCAGTGCTAATATTAACATTAATAATACTATTACTACTACTTGTACTACTACTAATACTCTTTGTACTACTACTACTACCCGTACTAATACTACTAGTAGTACTACTACTAATACTACTAGTACCACTACTACTACCACTACTACTACTAGTACTACTACTACTACCACTACTACTACTAGTACTACTACTACTAGTAATACTACTACTAGTACTACTACTACTAGTACTACTACTAATACTACTACTAGTACTACTACTAGTACTACTACTACTCCTATTACTACTACTACTATTCCTACCAATACTAATACTACTACTAATAGTACTAATATTATTACTAGTATTACTAATACTACTACTACTACTAGTACTACTAATACTACTACTAATAGTACTACTAATAATACTACTACTACTACTAGTACTACTACTAATACTACTACTACTATTAGTACTACTACTACTAGTACCTCACTAGTACTACTACTAATACTAGTACTAATACTATTACTAATACTACCAGTACTACTACTAGTACTACTACTACTAGCACTGATACTATTACTACTATTGCTACTACTAGTACTACTACTACTAGTACTACTACTACTACTACTAGTACTACTACTACTACTACTACTACTACTACTAGTACTACTACTACTACTACCAGTACTACTACTATTAGTACTACTATTAGTACTACTACTACTACAAGTACTACTACTACTACTAGTACTAGTATTACTACTACTACTAGTACTACTACTACTACTAGTACTACTACTACTACTAGTACTACTAATACTAGTACTAATAATACTACTACTACTACTAGTACTACTACTACTACTACTACTAGTACTACTACTACTAGTACTACTACTAGTACTATGAGTACTACTACTACTACTACCAGTACTAATAACACGACTACTACTACTAGTACAACTACTAGTACTACTAGTAATACTACTACTACTACTAGTAATACTACTAGTAATACTACTACTACTAGTACTACTACTACTAGTACTACTACTAATACTACTACTACTACTAGTAGTAATAATACTAGTAATACTACTACTCCAGTACTACTACTACTAGTACTACTACTAATACTACTACTAGTATACTACTACTAATAAAAGTACTACTACTTCTACTGCTATTTCTACTACTACTAGTACTACTATTACTACTAGTACTACTACTAATACTACTACTAGTACTACTACTAGTACTACTACTACTCCTATTACTAATACTACTATTCCTACCAATACTAATACTACTACTAATAGTACTAATATTATTACTAGTATTACTAACACTACTACTACTACTAGTACTCCTAATAATAGTACTAATAGTACTACTAATAATACTACTACTACTACTAGTACTCCTCCTACTACTACTACTAGTACTACTACTAATACTACTACGACTATTAGTACTACTACTACTAGAACTTCTTCCACTAGTACTACTACTAATACTAGTACTAATACTATTACTACTACTACCAGTACTACTACTAGTACTACTACTACTAGCACTGATACTATTACTACTATTGCTACTACTAGTACTACTACTACTACTAGTGCTACTACTAATAATACTAGTAATATTACTACTACCACTACTACTACTATTAGTACTACTACTACTACTAGTACTAGTACTACTAGTATTACTACTACTACTTTTCTACTAGTACTACTAATACCACTAGTACTACTACTACTTCTAGTACTACAATTAATACTAGTACTACTACTACTACTACAACTACTACTAGTACTACTACTACTACTAGTACTAGTACTAATAGTACTATTACTACTACTATTACTAATAGTACTACTAATACCACTAGTACTACTACTATTACTAGTACTACTACTACTACTAGTAATACTACTTCTATTTCTAGTACTACTACTAATACTAGTACAACTACTACTACTACAACTACTACTAATAATACTACTACTAATATTACTACTACTACTACCAGTACTACTACTAGTACTACTACTAATACTACTAGTACTGATACTACTACTACTGCTACTACTAGTACTACTAATACTACTACTAGTACTACTACTACTAGTACTACTACTACTACCACCAATACTACTACTACTAGTACTACTAGTAGTACTACTACTACTACAAGTACTACTACTACTACTAGTACTAGTATTACTACTACTACTAGTAATACTACTACTACTAGTACTACTACTACTACTAGTACTACTAATACTAGTACTAATAATACTACTATTACTACTAGTACTACTACAACTACTACTACTAGTACTACTACTACTACTAGTACTACTACTAGTAGTATGAGTACTACTACCACTACTACCAGTACTAATAACACGACTACTACTACTAGTACAACTACTAGTACTACTAGTAATACTACTACTACTACTAGTAATACTACTACTACTAGTACTACTACTACTAGTACTACTACTACTAGTACTACTACTAATACTACTACTAGTATACTACTACTAATAAAAGTACTACTACTACTACTTCTACTTCTACTACTACTACTAGTACTACTATTACTACTAGTACTACTACTAATACTACTACTAGTACTACTACTAGTACTACTACTACTCCTATCACTACTACTACTATTCCTACCAATACTAATACTACTACTAATAGTACTAATATTATTACTAGTATTACTAACACTACTACTACTACTAGTACTCCTAATAATAGTACTAATAGTACTACTAATAATACTACTACTACTACTAGTACTCCTCCTACTACTACTACTAGTACTACTACTAATACTACTACGACTATTAGTACTACTACTACTAGTACTACTTCCACTAGTACTACTACTACTACGAGTACTAATACTACTACTAATACTACCAGTACTACTACTAGTACTACTACTACTAATAGTACTACTAGTACTACCACTATTACTACTACTAGTACTACTACTAGTACTATTAATATTACTACTATTACTACTAGTAGTACTAATACTAATACTACTAGTGCCACTACTACTACTAGTACTACTACTACTAGTACTACTACTACTACTAGTACTACAACTAATACTATTACTACTACTACTATTACTAGTACTAATATTATTATAATTAATATTACTACTACTAATACTACTACTACTACTAGTATTAATAATACTGCTACTACTAATACTACTACTACTAATAGTACTATTACTAATACTAGTACTACTACTACTAATACTACTACTCTACTACTAGTATTACTAATACTACTAGTACTACTACTACTACTAGTACCACTACTGTTACTACGACTACTACTAGTACTATTACCAGTACTACCAGTGCTACTATTAACATTAATAATACTATTACTACTACTTGTACTACTACTAATACTCTTTGTACTACTACTACCCGTACTAATACTACTAGTAGTACTACTACTAATACTACTAGTACCACTACTACTACCACTAATACTACTAGTACTACTACTACTACCACTACTACTACTAGTACTACTACTACTAGTAATACTACTACTAGTACTACTACTACTAGTACTACTACTAATACTACTACTAGTACTACTACTAGTACTACTACTACTCCTATTACTACTACTACTATTCCTACCAATACTAATACTACTACTAATAATACTAATATTATTACTAGTATTACTAACACTACTACTATTACTAGTACTCCTAATAATAGTACTAATAATACTACTAATAATACTACTACTACTACTAGTACTACTACTAATACTACTACGACTATTAGTACTACTACTACTAGTACTACTTCCACTAGTACTACTACTAATACTAGTACTAATACTATTACTAATACTACCAGTACTACTACTAGTACTACTACTACTACTAGCACTGATACTATTACTACTATTGCTACTACTAGTACTACTACTACTACTAGTGCTACTACTAATAATACTAGTAATATTACTACTACCACTACTACTACTATTAGTACTACTACTACTACTAGTACTAGTACTACTAGTATTACTACTACTACTTTTCTACTAGTACTACTACTACCACTAGTACTACTACTACTACTACTATTAGTAATACTACTACTACTTCTAGTACTACAATTAATACTAGTACTACTACTACTACTACAACTACTACTAGTACTACTACTACTAGTACTAGTACTACTAGTACTAATACTACTACTATTACTAATAGTACTACTAATACCACTAGTACTACTACTACTACTAGTACTACTACTACTACTACTAGTAATACTACTACTACTTCTAGTACTACTACTAATACTAGTACAACTACTACTACTACTACTACTAATAATACTACTACTAATATTACTACTACTACTACCAGTACTACTACTAGTACTACTACTAATACTACTAGTACTGATACTACTACTACTACTGCTACTACTAGTACTACTACTACTACTACTAATACTACTACTACTACTACTAGTACTACTACTACTACTACTACTACTACTAGTACTACTACTACTAGTACTACTACTACTAGTACTACTACTACTAGTACTACTACTAATACTACTACTAGTACTACTACTAGTACTACTACTACTCCTATTACTACTACTACTATTCCTACCAATACTAATACTACTACTAATAGTACTAATATTATTACTAGTATTACTAACACTACTACTACTACTAGTACTCCTAATAATAGTACTAATAGTACTACTAATAATACTACTACTACTACTAGTACTACTACTAATACTACTACGACTATTAGTACTACTACTACTAGTACTACTTCCACTAGTACTACTACTAATACTAGTACTAATACTATTACTACTACTACCAGTACTACTACTAGTACTACTACTACTACTAGCACTGATACTATTACTACTATTGCTACTACTAGTACTACTACTACTACTAGTACTACTACTAATAATACTAGTAATATTACTACTACCACTACTACTACTACTAGTACTACTACTAGTACTAGTACTACTAGTATTACTACTACTACTTTTCTACTAGTACTACTAATACCACTAGTACTACTACTACTTCTAGTACTACAATTAATACTAGTACTACTACTACTACTACAACTACTACTAGTACTACTACTACTAGTACTAGTAGTACTAGTACTATTACTACTACTATTACTAATAGTACTACTAATAACACTAGTACTACTACTACTACTAGTACTACTACTACTACTAGTAATACTACTACTACTTCTAGTACTACTACTAATACTAGTACAACTACTACTACTACAACTACTACTAATAATACTACTACTAATATTACTACTACTACTACTACCAGTACTACTACTGTACTACTACTAATACTACTAGTACTGATACTACTACTGATACTACTAGTACTAATACTACTACTAGTACTACTACCACTAGTACTACTACTACTACCACCAATACTACTACTACTAGTACTACTAGTAGTACTACTACTACTACAAGTAATACTACTACTACTAGTACTAGTATTACTACTATTACTAGTACTACTACTACTACTACTAGTACTACTACTACTACTAGTACTACTACTACTATTACTAATAATACTACTACTACTACTAGTACTACTACAACTACTACTACTAGTACTACTACTACTACTAGTACTACTACTAGTACTATGAGTACTACTACTACTACTACCAGTACTAATAACACGACTACGACTACTAGTACAACTACTAGTACTACTAGTAATACTACTACTACTACTAGTAGTAATAATACTAGTAATACTACTACTACCAGTACTACTACTACTAGTACTACTACTAATACTACTACTAGTACTACTACTAGTATACTACTACTAATAAAAGTACTACTACTACTACTGCTACTTCTACTACTACTACTAGTACTACTACTACTACTAGTACTACTACTAATACTACTACTAGTACTACTACTACTCCTATTACTACTACTACTATTCCTACCAATACTAATACTACTACTAATAGTACTAATATTATTACTAGTATTACTAACACTACTACTACTACTAGTACTCCTAATAATAGTACTAATAGTACTACTAATAATACTACTACTACTACTAGTACTCCTCCTACTACTACTACTAGTACTACTACTAATACTACTACGACTATTAGTACTACTACTACTAGAACTTCTTCCACTAGTACTACTACTAATACTAGTACTAATACTATTACTACTACTACCAGTACTACTACTAGTACTACTACTACTACTAGCACTGATACTATTACTACTATTGCTACTACTAGTACTACTACTACTACTAGTGCTACTACTACTAATACTAGTACTATTACTACTACTACTACTACTACTAAGTACTACTACTACTACTAGTACTAGTACTACTAGTATTACTACTACTACTTTTCTACTAGTACTACTAATACCACTAGTACTACTACTACTTCTAGTACTACAATTAATACTAGTACTACTACTACTACTACAACTACTACTAGTACTACTACTACTACTAGTACTAGTACTACTAGTACTAATACTACTACTATTACTAATAGTACTACTAATACCACTAGTACTACTACTACTACTAGTACTACTACTACTACTACTAGTACTACTACTACTACTACTATTACTACTACTATAATACTATAACTACTACTATACTACTACTACTAGTACTACTACTACTACTACTAGTACTACTACTAATACTAGTAACTACTACTACTACTACTACTACTAATAATACTACTACTAATACTACTACTACTACTACTAGTACTACTACTAGTACTACTACTACTAGTACTACTACTAATACTACTAGTAATATTACTACTACTACTACTACTACTACTAGTACTACTACTACTACTAGTACTAGTACTACTAGTATTACTACTACTACTTTTCTACTAGTACTACTAATACCACTAGTACTACTACTACTTCTAGTACTACAATTAATACTAGTACTACTACTACTACAACTACTACTAGTACTACTACTACTACTAGTACTAGTACTACTAGTACTAATACTACTACTATTACTAATAGTACTACTAATACCACTAGTACTACTACTACTACTAGTACTACTACTACTACTACTAGTAATACTACTACTACTTCTAGTACTACTACTAATACTAGTACAACTACTACTACTACAACTACTACTAATAATACTACTACTAATATTACTACTACTACTACCAGTACTACTACTAGTACTACTACTAATAATACTAGTACTGATACTACTACTACTACTGCTACTACTAGTACTAATAATACTACTACTAGTACTACTACTACTACCACCAATACTACTACTACTAGTACTACTAGTAGTACTACTACTACTACAAGTATTACTACTACTACTAGTACAAGTATTACTACTACTACTAGTACTACTACTACTACTAGTACTACTACTACTACTAGTACTACTAATACTACTACTAATAATACTACTACTACTACTAGTACTACTACAACTACTACTACTAGTACTACTACTACTACTAGTACTACTACTAGTACTATGAGTACTACTACTACTACTACCAGTACTAATAACACGACTACTACTACTAGTACAACTACTAGTACTACTAGTAATACTACTACTACTACTAGTAATACTACTAGTAATACTACTAATACTAGTACTACTACTACTAGTACTACTACTACTAGTACTACTACTAATACTACTACTAGTACTACTACTAGTATACTACTACTAATAAAAGTACTACTACTACTACTGCTACTTCTACTACTACTACTAGTACTACTATTACTACTAGTACTACTACTAATACTACTACTAGTACTACTACTAGTACTACTACTACTCCTATTACTACTACTACTATTCCTACCAATACTAATACTACTACTAATAGTACTAATATTATTACTAGTATTACTAACACTACTACTACTACTAGTACTACTAATAATAGTACTAATAGTACTACTAATAATACTACTACTACTACTAGTACTCCTCCTACTACTACTACTAGTACTACTACTAATACTACTACGACTATTAGTACTACTACTACTAGTACTACTTCCACTAGTACTACTACTACTACTAGTACTAATACTACTACTACTACTACCAGTACTACTACTACTACTACTACTACTACTAGTACTACTACTACTACCACTACTACTACTACTACTACTACTAGTAATACTACTACTAGTACTACTACTACTAGTACTACTAGTACTACTACTACTAGTACTACTACTACTACTACTAGTACTACTACTACTATACTACTACTAGTAATACTACTACTACTACTACTAATACTAGTACTACTAATACTACTACTACTAGTACTAGTACTACTAATACTACTACTACTAGTACTACTAATACTAGTACTACTACTACTAGTACTACTACTACTAGTACTACTACTACTACTTCCAGTGCTACTACTACTACTACTAGTACTACTACTAGTACTATGAGTACTATTACTACTACTACCAGTACTAATAACACGACTACTACTACTAGTACAACTACTAGTACTACTAGTAATACTACTACTACTACTAGTAGTACTACTACTAGTAATACTACTACTACTAGTACTACTACTACTAGTACTACTACTATTACTACTACTACTCCTATTACTACTACTACTATTCCTACCAATACTAATACTACTACTAATAGTACTAATATTATTACTAGTATTACTAACACTACTACTACTACTAGTACTCCTAATAATAGTACTAATAGTACTACTAATAATACTACTACTACTACTAGTACTCCTCCTACTACTACTACTAGTACTACTACTAATACTACTACGACTATTAGTACTACTACTACTAGTACTACTTCCAATAGTACTACTACTAATACTAGTACTAATACTATTACTACTACTACCAGTACTACTACTAGTACTACTACTACTAGCACTGATACTATTACTACTATTGCTACTACTAGTACTACTACTACTAGTGCTACTACTAATAATACTAGTAATATTACTACTACCACTACTACTACTATTAGTACTACTACTACTACTAGTACTAGTACTACTAGTATTACTACTACTACTTTTCTACTAGTACTACTAATACCACTAGTACTACTACTACTTCTAGTACTACAATTAATACTAGTACTACTACTACTACTACAACTACTACTAGTACTACTACTACTACTAGTACTAGTACTACTAGTACTAATACTACTACTATTACTAATAGTACTACTAATACCACTAGTACTACTACTACTACTAGTACTACTACTACTACTACTAGTAATACTACTACTACTTCTAGTACTACTACTAATACTAGTACAACTACTACTACTACTACTACTACTAATAATACTACTACTAATATTACTACTACTACTACCAGTACTACTACTAGTACTACTACTAATAATACTAGTACTGATACTACTACTACTACTACTACTACTAGTACTACTACTACTACTACTAGTACTACTACTACTACCACCAATACTACTACTACTAGTACTACTACTACTACAAGTACTACTACTACTACTAGTACTAGTATTACTACTACTACTAGTACTACTACTACTACTAGTACTACTACTACTACTAGTACTACTAATACTAGTACTAATAATACTACTACTACTACTAGTACTACTACAACTACTACTACTAGTACTACTACTACTACTAGTACTACTACTAGTACTATGAGTACTACTACCACTACTACCAGTACTAATAACACGACTACTACTACTAGTACAACTACTAGTACTACTAGTAATACTACTACTACTACTAGTAATACTACTAGTAATACTACTACTACTAGTACTACTACTACTAGTACTACTACTACTAGTACTACTACTAATACTACTACTAGTACTACTACTAGTATACTACTACTAATAAAAGTACTACTACTACTGCTACTTCTACTACTACTACTAGTACTACTATTACTACTAGTACTACTACTAATACTACTACTAGTACTACTACTAGTACTACTACTACTCCTATTACTACTACTACTATTCCTACCAATACTAATACTACTACTAATAGTACTAATATTATTACTAGTATTACTAACACTACTACTACTACTAGTACTCCTAATAATAGTACTAATAGTACTACTAATAATACTACTACTACTACTAGTACTCCTCCTACTACTACTACTAGTACTACTACTAATACTACTACGACTATTAGTACTACTACTACTAGTACTACTTCCACTAGTACTACTACTACTACTAGTACTAATACTACTACTACTACTACCAGTACTACTACTACTACTACTACTACTACTAGTACTACTACTACTACCACTACTACTACTACTACTACTACTACTAGTAATACTACTACTAGTACTACTACTACTAGTACTACTAGTACTACTACTACTAGTACTACTACTACTACTACTAGTATTACTACTACTATACTACTACTAGTAATACTAGTACTAATACTAGTACTACTAATACTACTACTACTAGTACTAGTACTACTAATACTACTACTACTAGTACTACTAATACTAGTACTACTACTACTAGTACTACTACTACTACTAGTACTACTACTACTACTTCCAGTGCTACTACTACTACTACTAGTACTACTACTAGTACTATGAGTACTATTACTACTACTACCAGTACTAATAACACGACTACTACTACTAGTACAACTACTAGTACTACTAGTAATACTACACTACTACTAGTAGTAATACTACTAGTAATACTACTACTACTAGTACTACTACTACTAGTACTACTACTACTAGTACTACTACTAATACTACTACTAGTACTACTACTAGTATACTACTACTAATAAAAGTACTACTACTACTACTGCTACTTCTACTACTACTAGTACTACTATTACTACTAGTACTACTACTAATACTACTACTAGTACTACTACTACTCCTATTACTACTACTACTATTCCTACCAATACTAATACTACTACTAATAGTACTAATATTATTACTAGTATTACTAACACTACTACTACTACTAGTACTCCTAATAATAGTACTAATAGTACTACTAATAATACTACTACTACTACTAGTACTCCTCCTACTACTACTACTAGTACTACTACTAATACTACTACGACTATTAGTACTACTACTACTAGTACTACTTCCACTAGTACTACTACTAATACTAGTACTAATACTACTACTACTACTACCAGTACTACTACCAGTACTACTACTACTACTATCACTGATACTACTACTACTATTGCTACTACTAGTACTACTACTACTACTAGTGCTACTACTACTAATACTAGTACTATTACTACTACCACTACTACTAGTACTACTACTACTACTAGT